TGGTCCGCTGTCTGTCCCTGGTCCCGTGGCTGTCCCTGGTCCCATGACCAACCTCATCCCACAGCCATCCCTGGTCCCACGGCCGTCCTTGGTCCCGTGGCTGTCCCTGGTCCCATGACCAACCTCATCCCACAGCCATCCCTGGTCCCACAACCATCCCCATCCCACAGCCATCCCTGGTCCCATGGTCATCTCCAACCCACGGCCATCCCTGGTCCCATGGGCATCCCCATCCCACGCCGGCACCCTTCCCTTTGCCATCTGGGAAGGAGAGATATGGGGCAGGGGTGGGCAAGGTGGGGCCGGTACCTGGGTGAGCCCTGAGGCTTTCAGCAGCTCCTGGGGCGACCGGCTGCCGAAGTAGATCTGGCTGGGGGGACGCAGGCCGAGGATGCAGGAGTACACCTTGTTTCTCACCTGGGGGGACGCGGGTAGGACGTGGAGTGGCCAGAGACTGGGCAGTGCCGCAGCCCCGGGAGGGGTTTGGTGGGGGGAAAGGGTGCCACCACCTTTTTTTTGAAGTTGAGGAAGTAGTTGGCCTGGTCGATGAAGAAGAGCTCGAGTGCGGAGCGGCGCAGGTTGTAGCGGCGCAGGTGGACCTCGCGCAGGTGGGACAAGGGGCGTTTGAAGTCATAGCCGATCCCTGCCGAGATAGGGGGGGGGGCACAGAGCCCCGCGGGCATCACCGTCCACCCGGACCCCAATTCCCGAGGCAGGGATGGAGGCCAGCATCGCCCTGGGGCTGGGAGAAGCCCACCCCCAAAATGGCCAGCACCCGGCGTGATGGGCTTCTGGAGGAGAGGGGATGGGGGGGGGGTTCCCCCCCCCACCTCGCTGCAGGGACCCCCCCCCAAGGAGCATGTGCCGTTACCTCCCTCTGTCTCCTCCTTCTCGCTGCTGCCGTCGTAGAAGTAGACGTGCTGGGTCGTCACCTCCAGGCGGCCGGGGACGACGGCCACTGTCGTGATGAGCTCGCAGTCCTCCGAGACCACCAGCTTCTCCCGCTGGTTCTGCTCCTTGGGCTCAGCCCTGGGTGACATCGGGGGTGAGGAGACACCGGTGACACCCCCAGCCTGGGCGAGCCAGCGCCACAGAAGGGGATGGGGACACTCACTGGTTGTCCAGGACAGGGAGGTCCTCCTCAGCCAGTTGGTCATCCTCCAGCTCGCTCACCTTGGCTTCCTTGGCCATGGCAAGCGGGAGGGACTCGGCGGGGCTGTGGGGGGGGGCGGC